CCACAAATTCAAACAATGCCAAATGCTCAATAAACGTATTTGGGAACATCACTTATTTTTATCTTTACCTGATCGTAAGTGTCACCGGCTTCCCAAAGTGCATAGACCTTTAGTTCATCTGGTGAAGCAGCAGTCTGCGGAGGAAACTGAGAACAAGAGGCCGTTAAAAATAACCATCTATTTAATGAGTTCTACTTAATGATTCTATGGTACAGTATCCCTGGACACCTATTACCGAATCAGAGACATCACTGCCATGTAACGAGAATTGCCAACACAACAGAAGCTCCTCTGCCATTCCACATGCCAAGGGGTAACTGCCCACAGCCCCTGTGCCGGCTCAGGCACGGCCCGTCCTGCAGCCACGGGGCAGACACCTTCTCGCAGGCCAGTGACTTCCACCGAATTACGATCTGTATCAACCCTGTGCTGCTGGGCCATCCTGGAGCACACCCCCCTCCAATTCACGAGGGGCTGACCATGGGCGAGGGAATGGGACGAGCACCGTGGCACCCCGACCTGTGCCTTGATACGCCCGAGCCGTGTTTGGCTGATGCTTCTGGTCAACCACCACGTACCAGAACAATCCTGGGGCTTGGACCTCAGCTGGTATCTCCTGGCAAGATGTCTAGATTTTCCTGTCAGCAGCGTTTGCTTCCAGACCATCCCAAGCAGTATTCAACTGAGAGCACCAAGTGCCTCACAGGGTCTTTCTGGAGGTTTTTTTACATTTACAGTGGCAGGTTTTAGATTCAGGCTCCCTCCTGCATTTATCTGCTTCACTAATCCCAAGTCAGCGTTAGTGACAAGCACTGTGCTGCTGCTGTATTTGTCATCTCGGTTTTGGGGCAGGCTACAGGACTGCAGAAGACTGAACGCTGATGGACAGTGAACCAGACGCTCATTTCAGGCTCCAAAAATGAAGTGGGGTTGTTTGTTGGTTTGGTTTTGGGTTTCCCCCCCACCATGTGCCAAGCTAGAGAAATACATTTGCTTTTTCTGAGGCAGAGGCCTCACACCCCTGCACAAAGGAAGGAACACAACTGCCTCCCCTCCATGTCCCGAACTCCTAAAAAATCTAAAATACCATGTATTTGCCTTAATGTTTCCCCTTGGAGCAGTGACTAATGAGCAATGCTGGAATATGCCTTCACTCCTGACACGTCCCTTCTTGTCTGTCACTAACAATTTATTCCTTGCTAACCACCCAGCTGACCTAAATCCATCATCTCTGAAAAGCTAACAAGTGTTCAGTCCTGATTGTTCCAGTATCCCTCGATCCTGGCTGCTGGTACAAACCAAACCTTTCTTCCCAGACTCCCTCACACCAGGCTAAGAGACCTGTGCATCGCAAAGTGGCAGATCAGCCCTTCCCTTCATGCTTTGCCTCAGATCTTACTGCAAAGTGAAAGAGTTTTGTCCAGTGGGAGCTGCCTGGTGGGATTAGCAGCTTCGGCTCTCACCTTGGTCCAAATGGCTGTAATATAACGAGGTTTTACATTTGGTTTAGAGCCAGGATTCAGTTTGTTAGGCTTGCAACACCTGACATGGTTCTCTTCTTGTATGGACGCTCACTTTTGAGGAATATCATCTCTTGCATGCTTTCAGCACAGATAAAATCAAATACTTCTGCTTCCCTCCAGAAAAAAGCTGCAGCAGGAAAGGCAAAATGCAGGGCTCTGGCAGCACCCAGCCACACGCTACCTCACTTGGAGACAGTCACTCAACACATACCTGGAGTACAAACTCCTCCTGCCCCAGCTACACACCTGAAATGCAGCTGTGTTTATCTGGCCATTCTGTGAGGAAACAGTTTCCAAACCAACACGATACTTATCTGGGAAGAAAAACCCACTGAATCTACTCCTCTCGTCCAGCCTTGCTCTGCAAACTGTCGTGAACTCTGCTGCCAACAGTACCCTGCTCACTTGCTGCTGTCATACAGCCTGTCCACAGAGTGGGAAATGCCATCAGCAACTCTTTGGAGAGACACGCTGCTCTGTCCAAACAGCTTTACTGACTTGCCATCCACTGTCCCTTTGCCATTTTACGTTCATTATCTTCATCTCTCCAGCCTTACCTTGAAACAGCTCTCCACTGCCTTCAAATCCTTCTTTAAAATGTCTGCCCTGTGCCCCTTCCTGCTCTAAGCCCCCAGAGCTAGTGCAGGTTTTAGGAGATGAACCGTTGCCCCGGGTCCCCAGGGCTGCCCATTCAAAGGGAAGCTCTGGGGAGAAGCCCTCGGCTTCAGGATGTGTTCACTCAAGCACTGAGCACGCCCTAAAACCAGCCACTGCCAGGCAGCCTCACACCACAGCTAAACCAGACTGAAAGGGGCTGAGTCTGCCAGAAAAAACCCCACCACCTTATCAGCTGGACTAATCCTAGAGGTAAACCAGTGAGCTTACCTCTCCGGGAGCCTGGCGTCGGCACTAGCCCAAAAGGCTCACCGTAAGTGCAGGGCTGCATTCCTCTCCTGTTACACTAGCCAGGCAGGATGCCAGCAACAGTTACATCATTTCCTGGTGCCTCAAAAATATCCTCAAGATTTGGGCAGAACGTTTCCACTGCACACACGATGGGAAGGGAGCCGGCAGGAGCCAGTCTGCAGGAATGGGTGCAGATACTCAGGAGCGAGATTCCGCCCGTGGGGCTGGACACAGGTTCAGCCTGCGCAAGTTCCGGACACACACACAGCGCTGGTGTCTGCCAAGGATGCCTTTACTTGCCCTCTCCCAATGGCAGCAGCCGCCCACTGCACGTGGGTGCATCTTCCCAGGATTTGGGATTTCCTTATGGATGCTTTTCCCTCCCACTTGAGGATGCTACAAAGCACAGGCAAGCACAGCACCCTGCAGGCATCCTCCACGGCCTCATCTGCAGCTGGAGTGGCATCTCTTCTGGCTCCCCACAAATACCATTTATCTCATAGCCTGGGTGCAGTCAGTCAGCATTATAATAAATCCTGCATTCCCCTGGTAAGGTTTCAATTGCTGTTTTCAGCAACATGTTTTCTATAATAGGGCAGCATGCAAGCCAAGAGTGTCTTCACCCCCCACAGAACATCATTTTAATTACATCAGATCATTGATTTTTATCACCAAAGCACTTTCAATTACAGAAAACTAATGAGTAACTACGAAATCCCACACTAAACAACCCTCCGGGCTCTCCCTGAGCTCAGGCACCATTGTCGGGTTCTGACGAAACTGTCCAAGGGAACACTCAAGAAACACCCAAGTGTATGAGCCCACGCAAAGAGTAAAACCAGCCCCAGCACCTCTGCCATCTGCATAGCGCACTGGGGGAGGCTTGGGGGTAACGATTTACATTGCTGATAACAGTACAGGCTTATACAGGTTCCTGTACAAGCTCTCGGGTTTTTCTAGGTCAGCAGAACTAAAACTTAGAGCAGACCTCCAGCAAGAGGCGTTCCAGAGACCACTCCTACACCTCTGCAGGTCCCTGTGACAGGGTATTCCAGATAGAAGTTAGTTACCAACGATCTCTCGTCAGGAGGATTTTATTTTGGTTGTTTTTTGCAAAAATAAACTATCCCACTTCTCACAAGTGAAAGCAAAGAGTGGATGGAATTATTTCCCAAATCCTACAGTTTCCAAAGCAAACAAGTCCCAGTCCCAAGTAAGAGAGGAGCCATGACCGTGGCTATTTACCACCAGCATGGCAAACGCCTACGTCGCGCTGCGTACAAAGGAGAGCCTCGCCAGCACTAAGAGGCAGTTCTAGGCAAACACTACCCCAGGACTTGGAGGCTGTCAAGAGAGGAAGCAGAAAGTACCAAAATTGGTGGTCTCCCTAGTGGCATTTCAAGTCTGTTGCTCAATTCCCAGGGGCCACAACACATACTCTGCGCACGACTGAACATGTTATTTCTGCCCCTCTGTAGCAGCCCTTATTCCTTAGCTGGGTTTCAACTCCCATGCTCCAGGCTCTCGCTAGCCTGCCTGCTTCCTCCTCTTTCAAGCAGTTCACACGTCTCTTCCTCTCTCCCCAAAGGCAGCTGACTCCCAAGCTCTTTCTGGTTGCAACCCAATCAGCACTGCCTTATGTCTTGTAAAATTAATTTCCTTCTAGGCTCTTTCCCATGATGCCAAATTCCTTTTCCTTTCCTAAGCAATCTACTGTCACACAAACCTGGCTCTGTCTCATGCAATCACATGTGTCGTTCCCATAAAGACAAAGAAACAAAACCACCTCCTCACAGTCTAGCAGGAAAAGGACTGACCAAAGAAACCTGCTGTAGATACAGTTTGTGGCTTCCCAGAGGGCGCTGCTGGGTGTGCCTTGCTGCTCCCAGGCACCCCATGCCACTTTTCCTCCCCCAACTGCATCCCCGTCCCTGAAAGAAGGAGCCTGTGCAACTCCAGGAGAGCCGATGGGAACCTGGGTCCGCCTTAGATCATGTTAACAGGAGCGAGTTGGGACAGCGAGTCACTGCAGCCCAACAGCCTGGATGCACAAACAGAGCCCCAAAGACAACTAAGCCACACAGCACACACAAAGCAAAGAAAGCAGAGTGCAGGGCCTGCCAGCAGCAGGACGCCAGACAAACCTCCAGCAGCTTCAATATATCTGATATTGGACAGTTACTCAGAGCACATCTGTTCTTCTGCACAGGACACAAACATTTCACAGCTCAGATGTTTAACCACCCCCCTTCCCATCCCTTCTCCCCAAAGTGCACCAAGGGAAAAACATACTTACAGGCACCAAAATCTGTTTGCAGCCAGTGTCCAACACCATGTCCTGTAACATTTTGTCCGAAATGCCACTGAACAACGTATGTCCTGGAGGCAGACTGGCTAAGTGAAGGTTAAACAACCGTTTAAGCTCACTCAGGGTGAGTACAAATTGTTTCTTAAATGTTGACGACACAAAAGCCTTCAGTTCTTGGGCTACCCGGTCAATGCAGCCTCCAGGCAAGTGGCCGTTCAAAGCGTCCGTGGAGTCCTCCTCTACATGGAGGCCGTTGACAACACCGTTGTTCATGCCCTCGTAAGCTGAGGTGTCCATTGGCTCCTCGTCACTCAGAGGCTCCTCTTTAATGCGGATATTGGAAACATCTGTCTTGGCTGAGGCATCATTTGATTTCATCTCTGTTTTTTGCTTCTGGAACTCCTTCTCCAGCTGCCCGTAGTTCTGCTTGACTTTTGCTTTAGCCATGTTGACCCTTTGCTCCCCAGAAACCAGCAATGGATGAGCTAGTGAGAAACAAAAGATAGCATAAATCTCACCATAACCAGGGCTCCAGTCTTGCAGAATGTTTCTTGAAGGGCTCATAGTAAAATAAAACCATAAACATCATCTGCTTGTGAAATCTAAGCCATAAACCCAGTTTGTTGATTAGATTTTACTTTAGTTTTGGGAGATTTGGGGGGATGGATGTTAAGCAGTGGTAGTGGATTTTGGTTTTTTAAAGATAAATATGCTGACAGTTGTAAGCCAGGTGCTTGGGGAAGGATGCTTCAGGTTCCTTGACTGGAACAAAGTGCACTTGTTCAATCACTAGGGCCTTTTCCACAAATCAGGAAACCAGGATATAGACTGCTTATCCATCTCTACCTGTGACCCAAACGCTTCTTTGCCCAAGAGTAGTATCTAGTATCTAGGGGCTGGTGCGGCCTGCTGCAGCAACTGCCAGAGCCAGCACACGGATGCCCTACAGGTACAGCGAGGGTTAACAGTGAACCTGAACAGCCTTTTAGCAGGAGGTGCACAGTACGGAAGTCTCAGACCCTCTTCTTAGTATTACTACCCAGTGATGGGGAGAAACGGAAAGGAAGGAGTCCCTTCCCATGCAATCCTGTGCCTCTTCCTGTGTCCTCTCCACACCCAGCTATCTAAAGGTGAAAGGAAGGGGCGTGTTGGTGGCAGAGGAATCCAGTCTCAATGCCAAAGGAAGGAGTGCTGTGTTTAAGGCGAAAGCGTGCACAGCACACATGCTGTTATCTTCTCCGCTGTTAGGCTCGCTAATCCTCTCCAAATAACCCAACACCTAATCCTTCCAAGCAGATCAGACACAGGGTATTGAAATGGATTCATATGCTCGTTTGTCAGTTCTGCTTATACTCTTCACTGGCTCCAGTGCCTGGCAATGAGCCAAATGCCTGGTTAAAACTCTCTGGAATCTCAAGGTTTCACGATCCTTTAGGATTATGGAGCAGCTACTTTAATATTCTCACTGGCATCCATGGTGGAGAAGGATGTCAAAGAGCGACAGCTTCATGCCTCCTTACAGCCCCCTGCCAGACACATTCTTCATTAATTGCTCAGCCCTCAACCACACCACAGAGCGCCCAGTGCAAATCAGGGGAAATAAAAAAAAAATAAAAATCACCTCATGCACATTAGCTTGCAAACCGAGAGGTGAGAATTATTGTGCACTGGCCTTGTCCTCTCTTCAGGAGCTGCTTACGCCCTTACAGCATACAAGCTGCCTTAAATGCAGAAGTGGATAACAGACCCAGCTGATTTTATACTATCAAATAGCGAGTCCTCAGTGCCAAGGAATCCTCCCTGCTCTGCTACAGGGATGCTACAGTCAGCTTGTGCCACTCCAACATCAACGATGTTAGTACAGATCAAGATCCATCTCAAATAATCCAGAGGAAATCGCAAGAAAGCGAAAATACTAAACAAAACAAGACCAGTCTCCGCCACGTTCAAAACCAGAGAGGCGCTCAAAAACATCACCCTGGAGCATGGAGGAATGCATGTGCTTGAAGGTGATCCAAGCACAATTCCAGTTACCTGATTGTGCCTCTTGTTTCTTTGGTGTCAAGTGCTCCTTTAAGAGATTATAGACCTTTTCTAATCTGAAAGACAAAGATAAAATATACCAGGACAGTTTCAGTTACGCCTGCATGCAGCTGTGCCAGCTTTAGCCATTAGCTAGAACCCTCAGCTTCTCCAGGGAGCCAGTGAACAGGAATGACTTGAGCGATGCAGTGACACCCCCACCACACCACTGCCTGGTGACTGTTAGGGGGAAACCTTTGAGGCAATACAGATCGAATTATCTATCGATGTCTACAGAAACTTTGTATAGATAGTTCTCTGCTTTTAGCTTATTCCCCCAAATAAAACAAGTCATTTACTTGGCCTGAATGCCCATCCACAGCATATGTTGCCTCTGAACTATATCTGGATGCTTCTTAACAAAGTCTTCATCATAAGGGAGCATGAACTCCCAACCTTTGTTTATTCTTGCCACAGACATGTGCTCTAGGAAGTCTTTCACGTCTTCAGGGCAAAGCTATAAGAAAAAGAAAAAGGATAAATAATATAGAAGTCAATTTACAGAGGACATAGGCAGCCACGCAGCAATGGGCATTGTTCCATGAGACAGGAAGAGCTGGGCTGATTTGGTATATATGGGGCACCTCCATGAATACACACCCAGCTAAGTCAGAGATACTCATCCTTCTCAGAAGCACCAACACTTCCACACAATGTTAAAAGCAGAGGACTTCAGAGAGCAGTGGTGATTAATCACCTGAGAGTCAAATAGCTCATGGCATGTTTTATGAAGAAAAGGGAGTTTCCAAACTGAGATGAAAAGACTCTATTGTGAAGAGAAGCATATTCTACAATGTTAATATTTTAGAGCTGCAGGTCAGACACGCTGCACCTACACACACACAGCTTTTAAGCTACATTCCAAAAATAGAGGCTCTGTGCATAAACTGACTTGTGTTTTATCATTTTACTGGATTTTAAGGAAATTATTTTTTGTCCTCTTTACTTAGTGTTTCTCGTTTGTTTGCCAGTTTTAACAGAATATTCAGGTGCCCGAGTTGCTTTAAAGCTTCTACTCAATATTGACAACCGGCAAATGCCGACAGAAGAGCTGCTCTTTTATAACACACCCAAAGCAGAGTAGCTACTGTGGACTGCACAAGCACTCATCTGCTTTGGTGCATGATCCATCAGCTTAATTCAAACTGTGTCTGGCTTTCCACTGAAACAGGTAAGGGGAGAAGATGCATTCCAGTGGCTCAGCTACAAGGCCACTCATACCCTGTGGTGTCATGGTAACTACTACGGGAGCTGCTCAAAACGCTTCTAAAAAGAGTTTGTATCTATACCTGTTCCAAAGTGAAGGCACGCCTGGTGAGCAACACTGCAAGTCAGCAGTAACACAGACGCTGTGAACCGGAGAAGAGGCTTGCAGCAGCATCTGCTACCAACCTACAGACAATGCCAAACACTTACCACAAACTTCTGAACTAGGAAGGAAAAGAGAAATAAATATCACTCACTTTCGTAACTGCTGCCACTTCCTTTCTCACAACCCAGCGGTCCTGTGTGAACTTCCACATCTAGGAAAGGAACAAATGAGAAAAACTTAGCAACTGTATTTAGTAGCTCCTTTACTCAACTTGTAGCAATGACCCTGTTCAACGATCTTATCAGAAAAATGGAAACCCCATTCCTTTCAAGAATGTGGAAGTAGGTAGTGGGAAAACATTTTCTGGCCTCTTCTGTCCTCAAATGGCCATGAACACAGTATCAAAAGCTTTGAGAGTCCGTGGTTTGCCTTGGTGAACCTGTGACTACAAAAGCTATAAAGAATCTCTTGAACTCAAACTCCATTTAGCTTCCAAAAAAAAAAAAAAAAAAAGAAAGAAAAAGAGACACACTGCAGTGATGCTGGGACTCCAGAAGTCACACCTGAGGCTCAGCTTCTCACATACCTAATCCTCAAGCTAAAGGAACTCTTCATCCACTTCTGTTAATGTAGGGGCCTGTAGAGGCTGCTGACTGTTGCCTTTCTACAGCACACAGTCCCCTAGAAAGTGCCCGTTCCTTTCTTCAGTGCACATCACAGTCACTCACAGTTACACAGAGATGGCCTGTCACTCACGTGCATGTCCCCAGCTCACAGAAAAGCGAGGTGCTCTGCAGAGCAGCTCCTAAGGTCTAACATCCTGAGAGGCAGCTGCTGAGAGCAGGCTAACAGGGTACACGAGGACTTGGGCAGAACACTGAACATGACCTTTGATTCCTTCCTGTCTCTGTTTAAACAGACTACAACCTCTTTTAGCCTGTGTGTATTAATAATGCTGTGAAGAATTCAAAATCTCATTACTGCCAATTTCTTCCTGCCTTACGACATCATCTATGCATCCTTCTCTCTGACTCAGCTTCTCTCTGCCCACAAACACACAAAACCACCACGCTCACTTTAGGGCACAGGGCATTTCTGTTTTAAAGCACAAGAAGCTGCTGTCCAAAGGAAGCAGATCTATCAACTCTCCTTGCACACAACTCTGCAGCACCCGTTTCTCGTTAGGCCCTTTACCCTCAACTACAGCCAGTGGTACTCATGTCCTCTGAATTTATTATGTGACAATCTGGAGAAACAAACAGAAGCTTTCAGAAAAGACACGAATATCTTTTTCTCCTCCCCAAAGTACAGCATGGAACAGGTGGACACTAAGAGTCACTATTGGCCATAAATACTTTTTAACCTTATTAGTTACTGTACACAAATACATAGAGGGAAATAAAGTTCACTTTTTTGCTAGAACACATTTTCTCCACAGATGCAATACAGCATTACATACTATTTCTGAGCCCTATGACCAGACATTTCACTTTGTCTGAAAGCCAGAAGTATCAATACTTCCTATTTTCTAACATTTTAACTTTTTCCCTGTTGTAGAGCTGATCAGCAAATTACTTGCCTTTAAGATCAACACAGCTCCATTTCTCATGCAAGGTATATTTGACATAATTCAAATGAAAATACTTTATCTTTACATCTTAATCACTAGAACACTACCACTTACTTAACTGAGCATAATAATTTCTGATCCCTAGAACTTTACACATGACATGTCACCTAATCTGCTGTGTCCTAAAGACTTAAGTCAGTGGGTCACACCTGAATCCAGGTCTCCGTATGGCTGCATCTTGGGTAGACATCAAGACACGCTAAAAAGTCACTTTCAGTCACCATCAATTTTACCTTACACTAGCACTGTAATATCCTTAAAGTCTCTTGCACAGCATGCTCCTAGTCAGAGCTACATCTCATAAACAAACATTGCAAACAAAGGGAACAGTCAGGTCTAACTGAAAAAATTGAGAGCAATACACTTGTCAGCTTCTCTTTGATGGGGTGGAAGCCATAAACTGAATATGAACTTAGGAACTACTTAGGACCTTAATTCTTTCCACGGTCAGCAAAAATAAACACAATGCAGAGGCTGTTGCTTTTTGCTGTGGTTACGTGTGTGTTTATAAAACCTGTATTCATTTCAACTTCCATGTGCAGCTACTGCTCACAAAAGGCGCTGGGAACAAAGTCCTTTCACTGATTAGCAGCTCCAGGGAATAAAGTCCTTTTTAAAAATCAACAGTGCATGCTCAGGGAGCAAAAGGCTTACCCACACTGCCCTCCTGAGACCTCACAGTCCTGAGCCCACAGAAATCTATCTGGAGAAACAAGCACTTTATTATCCAGTCCTGGCTTTTCTCTATGCTCCCACAGTGCAGGGCTATGTGATAGTGGCTCTACAGCATGTGTTAGAAAGGGATGAATATCGTTAATGATAGATGATCTGAACCTGCCAGCCAGCCACAACGTCAATCTACACCAACACTACCATGACAAACTTGTAACAACACTGTCAGGATTAAAGCACAAATAATTTCTTTGGAGGAAACACCTTATTGCAATAGAGCAGCAGCATTTTGCAATGCCATGGCTTCTCAGGCAGACTTCACCTGTGTTTTCCTTTAAAAACAACAAACCCATTTATACTTACAACAAAGTCTCTCCCTCTACAGAGCACTTCTGCAGGGACTCCACTATGCGGACTAGAAGTATCTTTTGGGTAGAGGACATCACTGTTAATTAAAAAGGAAAATGGATTAGTTACTAAGTACTCCAGAAAAATGGCATTGATGAAGATTAACATAACAAACATGTCCTCCGTGTTCTGCACTTAAATTATACCTTTATCCAAAGCATGGTTTTCATTAAAGGAATTCATATTGGTGTAATTACACCACTGCAATTACCCTAGCGCAAAAAGGCTTACACCAGCGAAGCATAGCCTTATGGCGCTAGCAGATGCATGCAACACAGGTACAAGCTCTGCTTTGTTCTTGCAAAGCCTATCCTCCCTTGGATCGGTGTAAACAAGACCAGAATGATCCTAAGAAATGCTTAGGCTAACCTAAGCAGCCTTGAAGGCAGCATTTAGCCAAAACGCTGATGTATGGGCATAAGGGGTTTTTATTTCCTTCCCAGCAATCAAGGGCTTAAGAGAACAATACTACAAAATGTCATGCTCAAACTGAACAGCCCGGAGACCAACACTACTCTGTGTCCTTGTCTGCTTGAAAGATCAACTGGATGACGCTTACCCCCAAAGCCTCAAGGCAACCCAGGTTCAAGATCTTGGTCCTACCCAGGCTAAAGAAATGGGTCCCCTCTCCGCTTAAAGCTCTGATGTGTGCACGTGCTGCTCTGTGCCCAACCATCCCAAACACGCCACATCTACTAGAGATATACGCATCCTCCTCGGAGTACTAGCAAAGAATCAGCTATAACAAAACCAGTCAGAATGCTAACATACTGTCTTTTAACTTGCTTCCAGCTTCCTTCTGGAATGGCTGGAGGGACAGCAAGGGTTGCTGTAAAAACCATTCACATTGCTAATACAGGCCTGTATCACAATAGCTGAAAGACATCCTGCTAACAGACTGGAACTGGTAGCTGGTGCCACACATCTTAACAGAGCGAGCTATTCCAGAGACTGTAATTCTCTGCATGCAGTGCTCCACCCAGGTAAAAAAAATCATACTGCACTTCAGACTTCAATTCCCAGTGGGATGCTTTATCCTAATAAACAGGAGGATGATACAGAATCCATTTCATGCAATACACTCAGTAGCCCACGCTTGACTTATTAAGCGGGTAATGCCTTCTAGAGGGTAGCTTTCAGCTGACAAGAGCAGCATCCACTGATGAACAGCAAGGTGACTACACAGAGAGCTTTCTTTGACTGAATTTAGCTAAGAAATACTATAGCTCACACTGGTTTCATCTTCTATGTTTATATTTGACACTCATCTCGAAGAATTCAGGACAGTCCTCTCACAAAAGAACACGAGTAAAGACAACATCAAAAACCTGACATAACTCAAACACAACTACAGATTACATCACAGCCATAATTTTAGCTGGGGTAGGTACTAAGGTATTATCCTTTAACAGCAACCCTTTGAATTTGGAGTATCTGACTGCACTAAAAAGCACCAAACATTAAATCAAGATTTTACAGTACTGTGAGTTAAGAACATGGCTACTTCGGGACACAAGAAAGATGAGTATATAAAATCCATTGTTCTGATCGTCTCCTTTAAGCAGAAAACACGTCCCAGTAACAAAGAGGAGCCATACCTCTTCACCACCCAGTTTCCCTGGACCAGCATTGCCACCTGCTGTATACAGCGGAGAACTGCCGTAGAGTCAGTGCCAGAGCCTAGCAAACTCATCAGATTTGCAAATGGCATGACCTTCACTGAAAGGCAAAAACCACACCAGATTAAGTGTTTCTTCAACGCACATGATACAGACATAGATTTATAAATCTAGGATACTATGATTTATGTTGAAGTTCATGGTCAAAGCTGTATGTTAGAAAAAATCCAAAACCTAAGTTCTACTAAGTCCCACCCTGCACTATGGTCATATCATATATTCTAAAGATATCTGCTAGTGTTGCATTAAAGTTGATTAGTTTAACTGGTCCCAAATTATTAATAAAATAATAATTAAACAAATGTATGCCTTTGGCAATTATTTGGAAACAGAGATACCTGACAAGACAGGAAGTTCCTGAGGCAAAGTCCTCAGGATTTGCTCCCATCAGATAGTAACTCTGAAGAGACAAAATACAATTCCTAGATGACATTCCTGAAGTGTGTATTACTGAAAACTTCCCAGAAAATGTCAAAGTGTGGCTTGTTGCCTTAACCTTCAACTTATGATTCACACTCAGACCCTACATTCCAGCAGATACCTGCTGAAATAGATGTATCCTGAAAGCTATCATCAGGTTAGAAATTATTCTAAGAGTAAGTTGACTGCAAACATACAAATCAGCAGTCAGATCTGCTGTTACTGCTCTTCTCTGCACAGCAGGTCTTCTTAAGGAAAGGCTTGGGATTTGGATTCTTCAGAGAATCAGAGCGGCAGACTGTCTGGTGGGGTGGCAGAACTGGTACTACTAGGAAAGGTACCTTACCTGAGACAATTAGAAGTCACAAACTAAAGTGCAAATATATTACAAAAGCTACAAACCATTCTTCATCAGGATCTTAATCTGATCAGCAAGGGGTAAAGTCCTCAGCTGGGCCATAGAAAGCACGTTGCTTGGAGCCATTGGCTTGTCACTGCAGATAAACAAGCAGATTTGCAGTCCATGAAAAAGAGCATCCAGCCAATATGGACTTTAAACGTTCTGTACAAACACTTACTTCTCTTCCTCTATGCTTGGAGGCATCAGCATCATTAAATATTCACTAGAAGAAAAGAAAACGCATCCTTAAAATGCTTGTATTGGGACTTCCTAGGTTTGAGTACAGTTATTTCTTGCTTAGAGCAATCTTACTTGTGTGAATCTACAAAACAAACACTAGCCTGAAAAGAGAGTTCTCCCCCCTCCTCCCCCATCTTCCTCTGTAAATTCAGCACTAGCAAAAACTATGGACATTCATCTGCCCAAAGAGAAGGTATGAAAGAAACGGGAGTCAGAATCCCAGCTGTTCTGTACAGAAGAGGTGTCCAAACAGAGGAACTGCAAGAGTAAATACATGAAGCACCGGTGTTCTGACACACCAGTCAGAGTGGGCACGTGAGGTCCTGTAGACAGAGAATCAGGCCAGCAATAAGCAGTCTTTTCCACTCTTGTAACTACCAGTGTCTGTGAGGAATCAGATCCAAAAGACTTCTCAGAACACCTAGCACTGTTCCACTGAGACGTTAAATGTTAAGAAAAACCCACCCACACCATTAAACAGAATGAGCCTGCCATTTTCCTATTACTTGGGCCATGGTTGTATCGGATGACAGTGAAGCTTTAGTGCTGACTGCATCATGGGACGACTCCTGTACAGCTCCAGTCACCAAGAAACAAAACCAAACAAGTTTCAAGTAGTTTCAGGTGTCTCACAAATCACAAAAGAAAGTTTTATAAGATTTGCTACAACAGAAGTTATTGGCTTCAGAGTTTTAATTTATCGTAACCAGAAGGACCTTTTGTTTAACTTTTCCTTCACATTATTTGCAGTCCCAACAACACAGGGTTGCGATAATGCAGAAGAGGCTACAAGCCCAAGTGAAAACAACTAGTTTTAATCTCACAGTACAGGGGAACAAAGCAAGCAACCTGAATAAGTTGAAGGCTAGTTTGTTTCTGTATTTTCTAAACAATTCAATTTTTATCATGGATAGAATTATCAAAGAGCAGACTTTTAAAGAATATACCTGCTTATTACTCTGAAAACAATCCCAACAAATTACTGCAATTTCTGTAGGAAACCATCAAACCGTTACCTGGGAGATTTAATTAATTCCGTGTTTTCAGCAAGGCCATGACCTTGACTAAATAAATACTGGCGCTCGTGTTCAGAACGGCTATCCTGGAGATACGGAAAAAACCAAGAGTCACTACCACATACTGATAACATACAAAATGTTCCTCATTCCAAACTGTGACCACCCTGTCACAGTTCACTGCACCATTCAAGCATTCCACCTAACTGATGTTCTGCTTTCACTTTCTTGAACAATGCTCACGCGATGTGGGAACATTTCTGTTGCTATGACATTGAAATCTCCCAACAGACATGCACGTGGGTCAGACAAACAGGATTTCTGACCCTCAACTGACTGGGTTCCCCAAGTCTTTCACAAATTCCAGTTCATAATCCAAGACCTGAGTGATTCTTGTACTCAGAACCCCCTTTATGTTTGTCCAATATCAGTTTTAAATCTTTTCCAGCGTGGAGACCCCAAAGCATCATCCAGCAGAGAAGGTACAGAGCACTGCAGAGTCTGTTCAAGCCTACAAACCTACTTTTCTTCATTATCTTTTGATGATTCCCTGACTCCCATGGGCCCAGATTTAAAAACAGTTCTAGACTTGGCTGAGCCTTCAAGCCCAGCCGGCCTCCTCAGCAGCTAGCACACACCTACCTTCAAGCCATAATAATGCAGATGAACCCAGTGCTCTTCTGCTTGTCTCTTCTGCAGGAACTCATAGGACTGAACACGTCGTTGACGAGCTTGTTCGGTCTCAGGGCGGGAGAATCGGACCTAGAAGATTTGGGCATTATTAAATACAGCCCCAAAACCCTCAAAACAAACCACCTGCATCACTTATTTGGTATATAAGTAACAGAAGCTAGGGGCCCTAGCTCAAATGAATTGGTGCCATCTTTATGCTTGTGCACAAGGGCAAGCCCATCTTGCTTCCCCCCCTCCCAAGCCCAGGGTCACCAGGATTAGCTAAGGTTTCCTGTCCTTTTATTTGGGTGTCAATTGTCAAGCTTTCTTGTCAACTGTTGCCTGAACTATCATAAAAAGGAAATTTGGACATACAGTAATTTGCTTAACATCATCTTCAGCTTCATCCTGGGATGAATCACCACCTGCCAAAAACCACAACAGAATAAACACACCACTGCGGTAAAAGAGCCAAAGCCAATCCATAACCGTTTGGGGGTCCATGCAGGAAAAAAGCAGGACTAGGAACTCCATAACCATGGGCTCAATCCTAGCTTGCCAATCTATGCAATGTATGACAGCACCACGCTGCTCCTATGATAGGAGATACTGCTCCCATGAGGTTTGCAGTGCAGCTTTTCAGTGGCAGTGGTGACACGCTCCCTGCTGCTGCCCTTTGACACTACCCACCACCTCCCATCCCTCTGCCAGCCCCCCACACTGTGCCCACAAAAGCATTTCTGCAGCTACGCTGAAAATAAGATCAGCAAATCAATGTGAGAAATGGCCTTATAGTCAATGTTATTATAATAACCAACTTCAGAATATAATGACTCTTATCAGTAGAATTATATATAGAATTTGCATCTCACCTCCCAAAAGAAAACACAATTCACAGCGCATTTACCTTCATTAGCAGCTTCTCTTTCTCGGTGTTTTGCATCAGCCTTGTCCAAGTAGGTGAAGCTTGGCCTCAGCTGAAGAATTCCATGTAGTGGGGTCAGGTGAAGTTCACCTGAGAAAAGAGAATTAACATTGGATAAAGTTGTTATTTTCCACTGCACAAGGACAGCACTTTTCATTATCTCCCTATCTCTGTAAAGGCACAGCTTCAATTGAACATAAATATTTAATACAGTAAAACAGAAAAAGGGATTGAAGTGAAAAATTCATTCAGTGCTCAGGATTTCAAAGGAGTATGAAAGACCAACACCTATTTCTGTTACTCTCCTTTTCGCATTCAAACCACATCTTGTAGAGAGCCACACTCAGGCTCAGACCTGACCTATAGTTCAGGAGACTCCCAGTAAAATAGTCATCACTGAAGACAATCTACAGATTTTCATCTCAAATGATCATCAGATCAAAACTCTGTGATGGCATTCGGAAACAAGAGAGAGGCAAAAAGCGTTGAACAGGAAAATGAAACAGACACAATTAGATGGAGATAGTAATATAAATAACAATGATAAATTTATGCTACAAATGTGTATTATTTCAGGCCACCATGCACTGTTACGATCCTGGAGGCACCTACAAACTCACAGTGTTCTTATGTAATGTTTACAATTTTGCTAGACCTTCTCAAGGACTCTGGAGACATTGATAAGGAAAAAATTTCCCTTCTTTAAAGACATATCAGTTAACTAAAACTTAGACTGAAAAAAAAAAAGAACAAACAGGTCTTATTTTAACCCTGAAATGAGCATGTTTCACTGATCTGGGGGGTAAGCAAAACAACCTTACCTTTTTTATAAACAGCAGCTGCATAGCGGGAAACATTACTCGCAGCTTGCGAAGAGCAGAAAGTTTGCTTGTCCATCAGCTTTCTGCAGACAGATGAATGCTGTGAGATTGTATTCAACAGGCAATGTGGCATACAGATGTTACAGGTTTGAAATCATCAATTCTCAAAATGGAGTATCAACAACCGCAGTTTACAGTTCAGAATTCATGAAGCACACCAAAAAATGTAGGTTACTTCCAAGAACACTTCCTATATAGCAGTGAACAAAGCACCCCCTGAGACTGTACAGCCACTTGTTCTCAGCTTTCCCTGAAGCCCTGGAGGACATACATGTATCTATGCTCACCACAACAAAGAAACGAAGGCAAAGAGGACACCTACGAGGAATAGGTGCTTGTTTCATCTGTACACGTGCCATCTACATTGAGAGCAATCTGTTCTCCCTTGCTGCGACAGTAGTTAGGATTCAAAGTATCAATGGCCATTTCAAGTTCAACCTAAATAACATGAAAGGAAAGACAGCTAATTACCATGGCAGAACTCCAAACACATCAATTAAAATTCAGTCCCACATGTGCTAACTTTTCCATAGGATTACAGCAAATTTAAATACATACGCAGCATCATTCAAATCCACAGGGCAAATCTCTATGCATGAAGTTGAGCACATACATGGATTTTTGTAGAATGGGGACATTTTCACAATAAGCTAAACTCCCCTGTAAATGAACAGGAGCAGAGAAACGAGAGGCTGCAGCACTTACCACTGACTTCACAGTTACTCTTGATTTACACTGGTCGAAGCACAGAGACAAGCCCCAAGCTTTTAGTTACAAGGAGAACTATTCCCCCCCTTCAAACTTTAGACATATGTTCAAGAATAAGCATCTTCCTGCACAGCATTTCTCTTTATATAACAATACAGCATATATTCTTCCTCAAGGTGGCCCAAAGCCCTTATAAATTCATATATCACAGCTATTGCCTCATTTTTTCTTCCCCTTTGTGTTACTCAAACTGAACTAGTTACAAGTCCCTGGATGAGACGGCAGATTTACAAGCCTGCACAGGGCTTACAATGCAAATGTTTGCTAATTTTAATGGAGGACTTCCTGAACAAGCTTCACACAAGCACTCTCCTTAACCACTTCCCAGAACAAAATCGTAATATCACAGACATCTATTTCTGTGTTTTTTAAATAAGGCATTTTAAAATTATAGCCACAGTTTTAGGATACATTTGCAAGCAAGTGCAATCATTCTGGCTTTGGCTATACTTTCATTAGATAGACAACCCCACTGATTTCACAAGGACTGCTAATGACTCACAGCCAGGCAAGAGGGAAATCAAGACCCACACCAACACTGAAAGACAAAACATGCCTCCAAAGCTCAACACTTTTCTGAATATTGTAAAGACCTCTTAAATCAAGCTGTATTAGCACAAGCACCTACAGACTGAACTAGCATTAGTAACTATGTTTCCCCGAGTGACTATTTTATATTAAAAGAGTGGCTTTTCCATCATGATTTTAATGCCACTCTTTATAAACTACTCTTATTCTAAACTCTACTTTACAGACGCAATGAAAGGCTCCCCCATACCTCCAAACACAGAGATCTGGTTCTGCAAGTAGTTGCATAGTTATAGCAGCTTAATAGCACAATGCACTTTTCTTAAGTACATTCTGCACAACAGAAAACGACTTGTACAGACTAGACTCAAATGATGACCAACCTTTTGCTGCTTTGGTTTTATCTTCGCTGACAAATGTGTAACATCATCATACGTCATGGAGGCTGGACGAATAGGATACTGGAAAACAAATCCATTTATGAACAGTGATGACAGAAAATGGCTAAGAGACTGCAGATTTATCCAAACCACGATAAAAAAAACATCATCTACTAAAAGCACTCCCTTAGAGTGGTTAAAGGGAGTGATTTAATGACAAGTCTGTGCCATAAATGACCACTCCTCTCTTGGCAATGATTTAATACTAAGTATTTCAACTGACTGAGACCCACACAGCCTTGCCTATATCCAAGATCTTGGCAGGCTGAAGCAGCAAGGAAAGTTACTGCTCTTTGAATTTATTTTAAACAAACTATCATTGCATAAAAGCTAACTGAAATACCTGAAACAGATACAGCTTCTCCAGTAGACTTCTGGCCAGGAACACGTCAATCTAAAAAGCAAAACAAACAACTTTTTGTAATTGATAGAGCCTCAGATAAAAATACAATCCCTAGAGCTCAAATACTGACAGTTTTAGCTTTTCATTACAAACTCTAACATAAAACACATTCATGACTCTCTTGTCAAAGGTCTCCTCTCTGCTGATTCTGATATGAAATTCTGCAGATGGCCTTTTAAAAAAACAAACAAAAAAAACCCACTGTGATGAGGTAGCAGACAGTGGCTCTAGCTGTGTTTTTCCTAAGGAAACTTGGCAAACAAATCTGAAATTAAAGAGGAAATTTTTTTTCTGAAGGGCTGAAGTAAATCTGTTATCACAATTATAGAAAGAGGAGGAAGTTCTCTCTTTGGTAGTATGACTTAAAGGTAACTTCATTTTTAGTATTTTATCATAAAATCTTTCTAAATTAGACAAGACACACCCACATCCCAAATCTGATTCAATATTAGCATTTTGCCACCAGCACCAAAAATCCACAGACGTTTCATGAATATCACAAACAGAAGCTGCCATTTTAGATACCTTCAGGTATACTCCTGACAATTCCCACTCCTTTTCTCGTGGCTTTTCTCCTCCTTATGAGCTTGCCCTTCCTTGTGCTGTATAAATTCAGACATAAAGCGAACAGGACACTGTGGCTACTCTTTGGGACACAGCAGTCTTTTAAAGAAGTCCAGAATCAAAATACAACTGCTTGTTTTAGCAGAAGGCAAGAAACAGTTTAGCTTCATATTGAACGGATATCAACTCATCAAAGAAATTCCAATTTTTTACAGCTCTCAAGAGATATGCAAGAGTCACTGGAAACACACAGTGGTAGAAGCAAGTTCCTCACCTGTGTTCCTCTTCTGACATGGAAAGGTTACAAAGGGTGAAAAACCTGAGCTGAATCTGCCAACGTGGACAGCATTATTTTGGCAAAATTTGGTGACACATAGTTTCAGCAATGTAAGAACACTGGGAACTATAATAATACTAATTTTAAAAAAGCCTGATGTACAATGACTGCTGCCACGATGCACTTTTACCTCTTGTATAATTGGATCATCTTCTTCATTTGCCATGCTAGGATGCAAAAAACTTTTTCTTGGCTTATTCCTTGGCACAACCTGAAAGAAAACAGAAATGTCATACGGGTCACTACAGCTGCGCCACGTACCACATGTAGCCTAGAGTATTTGTTCAAGTTAACTTGGTTCCTTTCAGTGGTAACCTGTTTGGTCTGTTTTTCAAAGGAATGTATGTGTTTGCACGATCAGGTCGCTAATATTCCACAATCTTGAGAGACTGCCACCAAATTTAAGAGACAAAGGTCTCAAAAATAGGTAAGTTCTTGTAACTTTTCTGAAAGCCAGCAGTTATGTAAGAAAGAGAGGGAAAGACAGGCCTTTTGTACTCACATAAAGTGTATCTTTTATACACTATGTAACTGTAACACAGGGATAGCAGCTGGTTTTGCAGCCAGCAGATCTACAGTGCAGTGGCTGATAGGTAAGTTCTTGTAACTTTTCTGAAAGCCAGCAGTTACGTAAGAAAGAGAGCACTAAGTCAGTGCTCTACGGAGGGAAAGACAGGCCTTTTGTACTCACATAAAGTGTATCTTTTATACACTATGTAACTGTAACACAGGGATAGCAGCTGGTTTTGCAGCCAGCAGATCTACAGTGCAGTGGCTGGTCACTCAACATGTGTGAGCTCTGAAACTGCCACTGCGGCCATCACCATCACTAAGGATAGCGCCACATGGTTCACTAGCTTCCCTTCTCAGAAAAATTCCTTGAAAGCAGATAATGGAGAAAGCTCCCAGTTAAAGGGCTGGGAGAAGAAAAAAGCCTGTACAAACCCTGTGCTCAGGACCAGACAATATTCCCATCTGTGAATGTGTTGACCTTGATTTCATCACCCTGACGTGTTGCAGCCTTGTCTCCTGACCTACCACTCTTCAGACTGTATTGCTAAATGAGAGCTCCAAAACACACTCCTCGGCCTCTCTTGGAGTCCTCTGAAATCATCACAACAACAGATTTTACTTTGTAACTACACCAATTCCAAAGAAAATAAGACACTGATATTAACTGGGGACTGGGTGCTCTAGAACAAAGTGTCATCATGTTCAATCCAGTGCTGGAGTCAGTGTCATGCCTGGTTCAGACCTCTGAATAAAAAATGATCCCTCAGCTAAAGCAACAATAGTTTTCCCCTGACCAAATCCAACAAAAGGATTTACAGGTTATTTGGATGTCATTGCAACAATATTAATTAGTCCAAAGACATCGTTAATCAGCCAGCACTGGTCAAGATAGGCACAAAAAAATAAAACCTCTCGCAAACTGACCAAGGAAAGTTTTAACAACAAAGATGATCAGATAAAGAAATAAGATCTATATTCAGGAACTCTGCCTCACTGTCTTCCACTCCTCGATGCCAGCCTGCTTCTTTGCTGGACTTCGTATGGAGGAAGAGAAAGAGACAGCGTCCAGGATCAGCTGGCAATAGAGAGGCTGCAAAAGAAGGAAGCCAGCATCCACGTTACATCCAAGACGGTGACTTTTTTTTTTCCCCCCCAAATACACAAGCCACCACAGAATTCAAGCAGCTCAGTATATTTCAACAGATGTGCAGGCTTCTCAAAACATCACGTTAATATACACGCAGTTATCTAAGAAATCTTTCAGAGAGGCTGGATAAGCATTCTGGATATCAGTGTTAGTAACATCACTACATGGGCAAATTTCCATTCAGGCAACACCTCTGGTTTATTTACACTGTTTCTGCCATTCCACCTAGAAATATGATTCCATATTTTTCACTTACAAGTTCTCCACTACCAAAAAAGTATCCCTCCGAGTACTGAACTGGAATTTTCCATTTCTTTACACACCAGCATATCCCTGGCTCTTCCCACCATACATCTGTATTTGAACATTTACCACTTAATAATATTTCAGATTCATATTCGAAATAATTTTGTAGAAATGCAAAGTCTTCACAGCAAAAAGCCAGTATCTTAACTACAGGCTGGGGCTGTTACTGCACAACCGTATGTGTTATCTGATTGACATCAGGGTGTTTTGTGCAATCAGGCACTCAGTTCTTCCCAGAAATACATGCATGAATATGCTGTTTTAAAGAAACGAGATCTGGCAGTTCCAATTTTGCTTTCCCTGCTCACATCCCCTGGGTAGCCTGATACAGCAGGCTCATGTAAAGCCAGCCTGATAGCTCTGCATGAAATGGAACAACTGCAGTTTTCATTCAGAACAGAGCTGACGATGATATGTATGAGAACATGCGATAACACCCACAAGGTGGGAGACTTGGGTCCAAACTCTCCTTCTTCGCCCCTGAGAGGACTGGGAACCCTTCTTGTCAGCCTGAGTGCCAAGGATGTGCTAGCTTGTTCCTTCTCTCCTGAGAAAGTTATTCCACTTTCCAGAAGAGAAATTAAGATTCCCTGGGCTAAGGAGAGAAAGAGAAGTTTAGCATGAAGGACCTGGTCTGTGGTCCCTCATCTAACGCTGCTTACGCAATTATACACAAAATCTCTTTCTGAATCCAGCTGCCAGTACTCAAGGAAAATGTTGTATTACAGAGATTACATTTTTTTCTTATTCATGTAAGGATAAAGAATGACTACAGTTCCTTTTATTGGAGAATCAGAATGACAGGTCTATAAATAGCAAGAAGTGTGTCCCAGCACAATTTATAATACTTATGCAACTTGAAGGAACCTTCCGAATCAGAATGAAGCTTTCACTGAAGGCATGCAGATGCAGTTCTACGTCTACAGTATATATATCTCTATATGGTGTTCATTTCCACATGTCACATATATATCAGATATATTTTTTTATATATAAATATATGACACCACAAGAGATAAAGAATGGAATTAAAAACTAGGAGATACCAAACACGTTCAGCAGTTTCAAATTTCCTTTTGGCAGAATAGTTGTCTTTAAAAGGGACTTTCCTTTAAGGTGCAAATCAAAATATAATGCAAGTTATTAGTATGAATCATTAAACTTTAAAACAGCTTGCAGGAGGGCAAGAAATACAAATCTCCTCACTTCTCCTGCAATGTGACCAACGCTAGGACCAATGGAACTGCTCGTTAGCTGCCTGTAACATCATCAATTTAGAACCAATGAAGAAAAATATTGTGGTTACAGAACTGTAAAAATTAGTGATGAAGCCACTGAATCTTGCCTCTAAGTTTGAGCTTAGAAGGGTATCTGGGTATTAGAGCTATCTTTTTTTAATTTTTATTACCAAAAACTTTAATATAAATGTAAGAAGGAAACTTGCAAATCTGCATGTCATCTGACACACACAGACTTCTAGCCAGGCCTGCAAGAAATGTCCCAGCATTTAATGGATACCTAAATTTGTCAGTAATAACAGACCTCCAAAGTGCCAACGCTGAAACTTGAAATATTATTCATATAAAATGATGCAGTGCAGGAAAGGCCAAGAACTCCTGCCACATCAGTGCCTTAAAGTATAGATAACGACTCAGTGGAGTGGGAAAAGTGCCATCTCCTACATCACTACCATAATTTCCTCTGGCACCTGGACTCTCCCCTGTAGGGGGTCTCTCAGTCCAGCCCTAGCAGCAATCCTCTAGCTCAGGGTGGCCCGTGGCATACAGTAAAATGGAAGCTGCAAAAAAAGCTGAAGCGCTTTCCAAACATTTATGATAATTACAATTTTGACCCAATTATTTGCTTAATTTTCTCCTTGCTTGCTCATCCACAAGCAGCTTTGCAGAGTCATCTTCTGGTAGCAAACCCAAAGAGGGCTCCTCTGCACCAGGACCTCTCTTTGGAGGTGATGCCACGGAAGCACCCCTTCAGGATTTAAAAGATTATGCATTAAGCACGACCCTTTCTTTAACACCTCAACGTTTACGGAGCGAAGCGCTAGGCCTGTTCTGCCAGGGATTAAGCTGCTCGCTCGCTGCTGTG